CGGCAGAGCTGTCGTTCTCCCAAGACGCATCATACCACAAGTCGTTTCCGCTGCGGGCCTCGTTCTGGACATGCTTGAACCATTCAATCTGTCTCTTGAAGTGGGGGGCAGCGCTGTCGTAGTCGGCGCTGGTGAGCTTGTTGAGGAACGACTTGATGTAAAAGTAGACGACGCGTTCGATGATTGGTATGGCCTGCTTATCCTGCTCCGTGGCCCAATATGCCGGATCGTCTAGAAGCTTGTCCTGCGTAAGAGGATTCCAGAACCACTTGGCGAAGATGCGATGGTCTGTGGATGCTGTCGGAGGGGAGAACGGCTTGAACATGATGTTCTCGACTTGGAGAAGCGTCTTCTTCTCGGGACCAAAAACGGTGATGTCGCCACTCAGGAAGTCGCCCTTGTCATACGTGTTGGTGGTGTTGAACGCGAGCTCGTCTGCGCCGGACTCAGCAGCCGCCAGGCAGAGCGAAGGGACCAAGGAGATTCTGTCAATATGGGTCGGGACATATAGTGAGCGAAGACGTCGGTCACCCGGCGACGAGTAAGCCCCGATGACGGTCTGGAAGGCGATGTCCAAGGGCGCCGGGTGCATCAGCAGAGGCTGGCCGCGTCCAACGTCTTGCAACTTGAGGAAAGCAAGTGTGCCAGTGGCCTTGGCGTCAGCTCGTCTCATGGTCTTCAGGCAACGGAAGTCTTTGCTGTAATCGTACCCCATCAGGTCAAGTTCCTTGTAGAAGGAATCGATGTTGACCCTGTTCATTTGGGGGTGCTCTTCCTCGGGTGCCGGCAAGACGGATTCGTCGTCGCCGGCGGGCGGGGGTGACTTGTCAGCCACCGTGATGATGATCTCTCCCTTGGCCGAAGTCGAAAGCTCACTCTCCTTGGATAGACACGAGTCGATGAAGAACTTGAGCGTAATGATGCCATCCTGGCCGGGCTCGCTGGTCACGCTGGCTGAGAGGTTAAGCTCGACCAAACTGTTGTCGTCTTCGAATACCACGGCCTTGCTGATGTCCATGTCCACAATCTCAAGAAGCTCCACTTCGTAGTTGTTGTCGCTGGCCACACGCATGGCAGCCTCCATCGCCATAACGATGTAGCCAGCGGCAGGGAAGACGGTCTGTCCTTGGAGAGCGTGGCCGTCTAACCACTCGAGGTCACGGGGCCTTACAAAATTGTTCCACTGGAACGTTGATGCGGTGGAGGACAGCTTTCCGAGCAGGAGGTGAGGGTGTTGTCCACGAAGATGCTCCCTTGTAGAGCGTGACTCGGTCCAGTAGCGGCGAGAATGATCCCAGGGGTACAACGGCAGCACCTTTGCCAGGCTTTGGAAAGGTTGTTGAGGCGACACTTCCTTTGCAAAGCCGCTAGCATCAATACTCGGGACTCCAAAGCGCTCCCAGAGGTATCCGAGACCTTGTGCAAAAGCGGTCATGTCGTCGGCTCCTCTCTCTAGGCACCCGGTATACGGCAACTCCTTTCCGTCGAGAGCGTCCTTGACGGTGGCGAGACAAGGCCCCTTGAGAGCAGGGTGGCAGCCGACTTCAATGCCAACTTGTAGCCCACGGCAGGTTACGGCAGCCTTCTGGACGGCATGAGAGAAAAGAACCGGAGAGACGAGGTTGTCCTTCCAATAAGTGGCGGTAACATCCTCCGCAGTCATCTCCTTGTTGTTCTCGTGGACGGATGAATACCAAACAAGCCCGGTCTGGGTTGGGTTAGCATCGGCAACGGCGCAACCGCATTCCTCCAACAGCTGTACGTAGGGTATGGCGCATGGAAGCATATGGTGTGAGTGGTAGGCCTTGTCGACCTTCAAAAGCCTTGCGAAGGTGGACTCGTCCTCTAGAACACCCTGCACGTGCTGGATTGCATCCGCATCACCGGAGATGGTCACACTGTCGGGTGAGTTGCTGGCTGCAACACAGACTCGGCCTTCAAAGGCCTCCATTTCGCAAAGCTCTGTCGCATCGTCGTACGACATGCCTGCCGCCAACATGGCACCAGGTTGCCCGCTTGGCGAAGATGCGTGCTCCGCGGACACAACGCCGCGAAGGTAGGCGATCCGGATGGCCTGAGCAGCGCTGATGAATCCTGCCGCAAAGGCACAGGCGATCTCGCCCGAACTGTGGCCTACCACCGCATTGAACTGTATGCCGGCGGCAGAGAGGAGTCTGACCAGTACAATCTGCACAGCGCAGCATAATGGCTGCGAGAAGCTGGCTTGCCTGACGTTGGAGGCCTCGCCCTCCAACATCAACTGGTCGTGGAGGGTCCATGATGGCCGATACTTCTCGGGCAGTGTTCTCAGCGCTTCGTCGAGCGTTTCGATAATGCTTGTGGTGTATGGCACGCCGAGGAGGAGCTTCTTCAGCATTCCGGGCCACTGCGCGCCCTGTCCTGTGAAGATGCCCAGCACCTGAGGCTTGCCCTTGGTATCGGTGCTGAAGTCGGTCCAGACTTCACCATCCTCGATGGCGGTCTCCAGTGCGAGTCGGAGCGTCTCTTTGTTGTTTCCGACGATGGCGCGACGAAGCGGCAAGACGGATCGCTCCTCGAGCAAGGTGCAAGCCAGATTTTGCAGGCTGAACTGTTGGGTGTCGATAAACTGAATCATGCTTTCTAGCGTTGATTTCATAGACTTCTTCGATTTCGCCGAAAGAACAAGAGGCAGGCAAGATGCTTCTGCCTCTACGACAGCTTCAGCTATAGGCGTGCTCTGATCGGGGCCCAGATACTCCTCCACAATCGCGTGCGCGTTTGTTCCACCAAAACCTGTGTGTCCAAAATGGTTTAGTTATTTGTTCTTTCTGTCTTGTCTGGATACACGAAGGCGATAATCTCTTACCGAATGAGTTGACACTGACTCTTCGAGGCTGGCCAGGTGCAACTGTCGGCCAAGGGATGGCCTCGGTCTCTATTTTCAGATGGTTATAGAAAGGAGCTACGCGAGGGCTTAGCTTGTCGAACAACAGGTTCGGCGGGATAACACCGTGCTGCACAGCCAAGCAAGCTTTGAGCAGGCCAGCAATACCGGCGGTGCCTTCGGTATGTCCGACGACTGTCTTGATGCTTCCGACGAAAAGAGGGTCATCGCCTGCATTGCTGTTGCCTCCCTGCCCAAAGAAGGCAGATGCAATGGCATTTGCTTCTTGTGGATCTCCAGCCGGTGTACCAGTTCCTGTACAGCACCGTTAGACTCAGGCATGGACACTTCCGGGCAATCAGTGAGACGGCCGCTTACCGTGCGCTTCGAAGAACTGACAGCGTTCCTGGGGGTTATTGATATCCAGGCCTGCCCTTGCGTACGTAGCGCGAATGAGGGCCTCTTGTGCGTCGTGGTTAGGCATGGTGATGCCCGTTGTCCGGCCGTCCTGGTCAATGCCGGTCTCCCTGATGACACACTCAATCGTATCACCATCTTTCAGGGCTTGACTCAATGTCTTTAGGACTACAGAGCACACCGCTTCCTGAAGGGCCACACGTGTTAGCATCATACATGTCTTGCGGCCGAGGCCTAGCAGAGAGTTGGTAACCTACTCCTCTGGCATATCCATCAGCGCCAGCATCCCACATGCGGGACCTGCCCGAGGGTGACAGCATGTTCAGTTTGCTCTCCAGGACAAACGTCATAGGGCCCAATATCAAGTTGGCGCCAGCGGCAACAGCCATGGTGCTTTGTCCACTGCGAAGCTGTTGCACGGCAAGATGTACGGCGGCCAACGATGAGCTGCATGCTGTATCAATCGTCATCTGCGTTCAGCGAAGCAGGTTAGCATTGTGGGACAGATATCGAACTAAACCCAGGCAGGCATCAGAGGGGTCGGTCACTTACACTCGGGCCATGCCAGTCAAAGAAGTAGGAGATGCGATTCGAGGCAATGCTCACCGCCACGCCCGTGGCGCTGTAAGTGGGAATACTCTCCAAATCGCGTGTCGAAGTGGTCTCGTAGTCATGGGTCATCATTCCGACATAGACAGCCGTGGACGACCCTTGAAGGTCCTGCATCCGCATTCCAGCGTTGGATACAGCCTCATACACCGTCTCTAGCAGAAGCCGCTGCTGAGGGTCCATGCTCTCTGCCTCTCCTGCTTGGATGTTGAAGAAAGGTGCGTCGAAGGCATGCAGGTCCTCCTTCAAAAAATATGCGTAAGACGCGTTGGTGCGTCCATGGTGGGTGCCATCTGGATGGTAGAACGTGTCGACATCGAACCTTTCCTTTGGAATCCTGCTCTGAACATCGCGAGGCTCTTTCAGGAGGTCCCATAACTTTGAAGGTGTGTTTGCTGCCCCGGGGAAGCGGCACCCACTTCCGACAATCACCACCGGCTCGTTCGGGTAATTTCTCTGAGCCATTACGACCTTGAGTCCTTGACTGAGACCTTCGTCGAGCTCTGGTTGGCGCAATTGAAGGGGGAACTGCTTGGGCGTTAGCGAATGCTCCGGCAAGAAGAAGGCCGAGTGAAGCGCTGTAATTACCAAGTGGATCTGAGAAGATGGTTATATCGAGACCTTGATTTTACGTAGTCATGTGCATCTCATAGTATCGTTGCCATTGTTATAAGTATGAGATTTGTACACAAGCGTATCCATGCTATCAAAGACCCAACAAGTTGCAGACTTTCGGTTTCGGTCAATCCATGATAGGAAGTCGAATCCACCTACTACTTCCATTGGCGAATCACAAAGCAGACGCCCGAATCCTCTGCAAAGGGCCCTCGGCATGATTCGGCGTGTCCACAACCAACAGATTGTTCGGCCGTCGGTATTATTCGGTGATACAAACGATGGCAGAAAGCACCAAGCAACGAAGGGATTTCGGGAAGAGACCGAAAGAGAAAATTTCGGGGCTATCATTGCCCTATTGTCTTAGTAAATACAATAATCCCATTGGTCCTGTGAGATACAGCGTCGCATGTCCGATCTCGTTTGCACCGATTCTATTTTTCCAAGAGTCCCCTCTCTCTAGGCTGTACCCTCTATTCATCCATCAACCGCAATGCTAGTTCGCTCTCTTTTGGAGAGCATCGAGGGCTTCCGAACAGGCTTATGGGGAGACACGCGACAGCGTGCCCCTTGGCTTTGGCCATACGCGGCACTCATCTTGGGAATCGCCGTTATTGCCTTCTTCTTTCGCAGAAAAAGGTCCAATTTGCGAGTGTATAACCCGAAACAATGGTGGGAGTTCACCAACATGAGGTCCAGGAGGGACTTTGACACACATGGGCCAGACTGGATCCAGGCTTGGTTTTCAAAGAACAACGAGCCCATCCGCTTCGTTGTCGATTCGGGATACTGTTCCATCCTCCCATCCTCCATGGCTGACGAGTTTCGGAAAATGAAGGAACTTTGCATGTACAAGTTCTTGGCAACCGTAAGATGTAGCCCCCCTCATACTTTTCACTTCCAACCCAAGATCTAACATTTTGGCGGGCATAGGACTTCCACTCCCATCTCCATGGCTTTGATGGGTTCAAGGAGGTCACCCGAGATGCGCATCTTGCGACCAAGGTTGTCTTGGGTCAGTTTCAGACACAAGCCAATAAATACGTTGTCCCATTGTCCATAAAAGCCAAGGCTGCTATATCGGATGTGATGGGCGACGACAAAGGTACGCGGTTACTCTCCTCCACCACACAGTGAATGCATTCGGCTCTCGAAACTCACTGGTCACACGGTAAACTGACGTGGGTTCGTTGCCGCACTAGAATGGCACACGGCACATTTCTACAACCAAGGATTGGACTTGATCGTACGCACAGTCGAGTTTATAATGGTGGGAGAAGAGATGAGTAGCAATCCAGAATGGTTGGACATTTCAAAAAAGCATGCCTTGACGATGGCTGTACACGCTCGACAGCTTCGTTTATGGTCCAAACTGCTACGACCTTTTGTCCACTACCTCAGCCCTCTAGGAAAGAATCTGCGCGATCAAGTAGACAAGACACGCAGCCTCGTCGAACCCATCGTGCAGAAACGACGCGCCGAGAGAGCGGCATGCTTAACGAAGGGCGTAAAACCGCCAGTATACGTCGATTCGATACAGTGGTTTGAAGAAGCGGCCAATGGCGATTGGTAGTGAGTTTGCCTCCTGCCTGGGACAGCATCATGTTCTATCCCAGTTCTTATTGCCCCCTCTGACGTACACTAGCGATGCTGCCGGCGCTCAGCTCGCCATGCACTTTGCCGGAATTTACGCCACATCAGATCTCCTTATTGGTTCCCTTGTAGACATATGCAGACACCCGGATATCATCGAACCACTGCGTCAAGAGATCCGCACCTGCATTGCAGAGGGAGGCTGGACGCCCGCCTCGTTATTCAAGATGAAGCTCCTCGACAGCTGCATGAAGGAGACGCAACGCATCAAGCCGGTCGAGTGTGCCACCATGCGAAGCTACGCTTTGCGGGATGTGACGTTCTCCAACGGTACCTTCATACCCAAGGGCGAACTGGTAGCCGTTGCAGCAGACCGGATGAACAACCCCAACGTATGGGAAGAGCCGGAAAAATACGACCCTTACAGATTTATGCGTATGCGCCAGGATCCTGAGAAGGCCGCAGGCGCTCTCCTGGAGAACACCAGCGCCGACCACGTTGGCTTTGGCTGGAACCCTAGGGCGTGCCCCGGCCGTTTCTTTGCCGCCAAGGAGGTGAAGATCTTGCTGGCCCATCTGTTGATCCAGTATGACTTCAAGCCTGTGCCCGGGGACAACCTCGAGCTTTTCCGCCACTCATTCAGTGTTCGGATCCATCCCAATACGAGGCTCATGGTCCGAAGGCGTAACGAGGAACTCCCGCTCCCAGTTAGTCAGTAGAATGGGCTTCCTAGACCGTCTGCAAGCCCCGGAGTGAAGCATGAAGCAGATGGCATTGGAAGATTTTCGACTCGAGCCATTGTCTGGGATCATCTGGTTTTTCAGGATGATACTTGAAAGAGGAGTATCTCCAATGTAATCAAATGACGAACTGAAACAAAGATCACCGAAAATCTGAAAATTATCGCTTCTGACCTACACTTGCCTGCTCTGCTAGATTGATCCTGACATCCAACAATAGTAATTTGATACAATGGCGATAGCCCGACGAGCCACCTTGAGCTTATACGTCTGTGTCGAGTTTCCTTCTCCATGGTTCTTTTTCTTGTTTGGCCACTGTTTCTAATGGAAAGGTATAGCCTCCAAGACTTTATTGTCACCTGACGGCAATGGTACAGTCGTCACATTTAGTATTGATATCAAGTCATTCAAGTATAGTCCCATAACTTTAGCAAAAAGTGAAATGTCCATAATTGCTGTAGATCTCAGACAAATACATCCTGAAATCTCAATAATCCGAAGCTCTCAGCCTCTGAAGATAACCTAACTACTTGGGTAACGATGCGTATATAGCCTTCTCAAATGTCTGAGTGAGGCCTCGACAAATCGGATCATTCCAAGGCTCGAGCTGGTATGTAACGAGCGTGCAAAGACCAGCGGCAGGGTCGATTTGCTGCAAGTGGTTGGAAAAGAAACTGTCAGCATGTCCAGCGATGCCTGAGACAGATTAGGGGTTTCTTACCCAGATGATATTCGGACCGCCTCCCAAGGTCATCGATCCCTTCCGCCGCCACTTGTCCCCGTCGAGGTCCTCCATGGGAATGATACCGCCAAGCCCAAAGTTTCGTCTCAGCCCCGTCATGGGCATGGGCCCGCCAAAGTTGATGTGCGTCGCCGAGTCCATGTGAGCGTTCATTTGTTTTTCAAGTCTCGCATCCAGAGCGGGCTGGAACATGAGCTTGACCGTGTCCGGTTTCAAGAGGACACCATCGTTCTTCAGCAAAGAAAACAGGACCTTCATGTAGGATTCCGGGCTTGTGAAGATACCCTGGCCTCCAAAGCATTCCTCGCCATCCTGGCGGAAATAGATCGTGTCGTCGTACACGAGCTTTCCATCTTCCCTGCTGCGTTGGGTTTGATCGGCTCGGCGGGCCAGTAAGTCGGGGCGCTGCTGTAGCTTGAAGGTCATATCAATGATATCCAAGGGATCGCATAGGTTCTCTTGCATGTAACTCTCCAGGTCCATGCCAGTAGCTCGTTCTACTAGCCTGCCGGCCCAGTCGAGATTTGACCCGTACATCCACTCGACACCAGGGTCGTTGACAGGCGGCGGTGCTAGTCGACTCTGAATTCCGAATTTGTCGGCTGCCGGGAGGTATCCCTTTGACATGTACTGCTGTAGTAGAGGGTTGATCAACACATACGAGAGACCCGATGTGTGCGTCAAGAGATGTCTTTTGTTTTCCAAAGAGGGGTTTAACAAAGTCAGAATACCATTGCGAACCCCGACATGTATCCGGCAACGGAATGTACCAACCTTAGAGTAATGATACCTTCGCGATCCCTCATGATTGTGTTTCCGGCATCGTCAAACCCAGCCAAGACCTTCATGCATGTCAAGTCTGGGATAATCTTTTCGACGTTTTCATCCAAGCCGAAGAGGCCTCGATCTACACATTGCAGCGCCATGATGGAGGTGAGGAGCTTGGTCGCGCTAGCAAACCGCATTGGCGTATCTTCCTCCATCGGGGGAAGTCTCCGGGTCTCATCACGTCTTACCGTCCTGGCCCCGAAGCAACGCGCATAGTCGATTGTGCCTTTAGAAAGTATTCTGCCGTTGAGTTACTGTTCGAATGCGTAAAAGGCTTGCACAGGTTGTCTCTGGGGGGAGGGGAGGTTGAGTAATTCATTCAAAGAACATACCGGTAGTGTTCTTTGCCATGACAACAGCCCCCGGTATCTTCCCAGACTTCACGGCGGCCGTAAACGCTGCCTCCATAGCTGGAATTGTGGGGGTATCGGCGGTTGAACCGCAATCAAAAGCAATACTCCCCATGATTAGGCTTGAAGATGAGGCTCAACGACGCTGGCTGCGTGATGGGCTCACTCAAGAGGTGCAACGTGAAAGAACTTCACAGAAATTGAAATAACAGCAGTCAGTCTGTTCTGGGCTGTCACATCAGAAAACCTGGCGTTGAAGCTTGCATCATACTATACTGAGCTCCGCTCTATCTGGTACCCGCCTAGGTACCTTAAACCCGGCGGATAACACGGCGTGTTTCGGGATTTTGGATCGGGGTTATATGCAAATAATCCACTGATCTGTTGGCTACAATGCAAATTTCAGTCCGGCCCCACAGAGGCCGATAGTTAATTTACCTCTGAATAATGGTGATATCCGAGGACTACGATAGGCTCACAGCTCTCGGTGACTTGATTTAGTGCGTAGTCACGCCGATCGTCTCTATCATCGTCATGCAGTGTCAGGGGTCTAATGCCGATGTGTTGGATAGACTGAAGCACAGCCTGACCGTTCCTTGTAGTCACCCACCGCTAGAATATAGCGAGTGTTTATGTATTGAGCAGGCAGTACCGATGGTAAATATGGAGGTTCGAGCTGCCGAGATCCACAGGGTATGATTCGGCATCACGATTCGGACGTGCAAATCGCATTGAGTATCCTCACTGGCACCAAGCCGGGTAATTACAACCAGCACATTTATCAAAAGTTCCATAACACTTGACCATTTACACGTGATTCTTTGATTCTGATAGCTGCCCCTGTGCCTAAGTGCACAGCTAGAGGTATACTGAGTAGGCTCAAATTGAAGCTGAAGCGATTGTCAACCCAATTTTACTCATCTACACCCCCTTATCTCTCATCGTTGTTTTAGATTCACGGCTTACCATTTCTCGCTGCCTAGCATCTTGAGGGAAAATGTCGACCTCGAGTCAAGCCTTCGTTCATAGCCCCGTTGCCATAGTTGGCATGGGTTGCAGGTTCTCTGGCGATTCAACAAGTCCGCAAAAGCTATGGGAACTGCTTGAGCAAGGACGGAGTACTTGGTCCAAAATCCCAGTTTCGAGATTCAATGTGGGCGGCGTATTTCACCCAGATGGCCAAAGGGTTGGTTCGGTACGTTTTACCACGTTGATTTGCACAGCTACTGGACCAAGGGACCCGATACTCGTCATCATTTTTTCTGACAGCAGGCTCTTTCAAAATAGACTCATGTGAAGGGCGGGCACTTTCTTGATGAAGACCCTGCTTTGTTCGATGCTTCATTCTTCAATATGACCAGTGAAGTCACTAGGGTGAGAACAGAATTTGCTTGTTGAGGCCAGCGACAACAGAATCTGATAAACGGACAGGATATGGATCCGCATCATCGCTTGATGCTGGAGGTTGTCTATGAGGCTCTTGAAAGTGGTATGTGCCGGAGCATTGAGACGTACAATGTGCTAGTGCTAACACTCTTCTCTAGCTGGCATTCCTCTCGAAAGTGCCGCAGGAACTAACACAGCGGTATTTGGTGGCATTATGTATAAAGATTATCACGATTCACTCAACCGCGACCCGAAATCTCTGCCTCGCTATTTTATCACGGGCAATGCGGGGGCGATGGTAGCAAACCGCATATCGCACTTCTTCGATCTGCGTGGCCCAAGTGTAACCATCGACACTGCGTGTTCCACGACACTGACCGCTCTGCACCTGGCGTGCCAGAGCTTGCGTGCGGGAGAATCGGATATGGCCGTTGTGGTTGGTGCAAACCTGATGTTGAACTCGGATGTCTTCGTGACCATGTCCAATCTCGGGTGAGGCCAATCCCTTCCCGCATCCCCATTCCAGTAACGAAGTGTAAGTCGAGTCGTCTAATTTTGCGATCAGGTTCCTGTCCCCTGACGGCATCTCGTATGCTTTTGACTCTCGCGCCAACGGTTACGGTCGCGGTGAAGGAGTGGCCGCTATCGTGTTGAAAGCGCTCCCTAAAGCATTGGCCGATCACGACCCTGTCAGAACCATCATCCGGGAAACGGCGCTGAATCAAGACGGAAAAACATCTACCATCACCTCCCCCAGCGACATAGCACAAGAAAAGCTCATACGGGAATGCTACAACAGAGCTGGGATCGACACATCGCAGACGTCCTACATCGAGGCTCACGGGACTGGAACACCCACAGGGGATCCCTTGGAGATTTCGGCCATATCAAGAGCATTTCAGGGTCAGCCCTTGTATGCCGGCTCTGTCAAGGCCAATATCGGACACACGGAGGCTGCTAGTGGTCTGGCGAGCATCATCAAAGTAGCATTATCCCTGGAAAAGGGCATGATGCCCCCCAGCCCCCGGTTTCTAAGACCCAACAGGAAGTTGATGCTGAAGGAAAAACATATCAAGGCGCGTGTACCCTCATTTTATGTGCTTGCGAGGCTAACATTAAACAGCTCCTTTCGAGCGCCCAAACTTGGCCGCTGAAAGATGGTATCCGTCGCGCATCTGTCAATAACTTCGGTTTCGGAGGCTCCAACGCCCATGTTATTCTCGAGTGGCATAACCCAGACTCCCAGGACCAGGATCAAGACGAAACCAACGGATCTGCAACAGTCGATGCAGCCTCCGGCCCAGCTCGTACCTACATTCTCAGTGCAAAAGACGAACCGGCGTGTCAGCGCATGATATCGAACCTGCGGAACTACATCGAAAATGTCGACTCAAACCAGGAGAGAACCCTACTCGCTAGTCTCGCACACACTCTCGGGTCTCGTCGCTCGGTTCTCCCATGGAAAACTGTCTTTGCGGCTGACAGCCTCGATGGCATCCTATCTAGTCTAGATGGCGGCCAGAACCGACCCGAAAGATCTAGAAAGGAGATCCGCGTTGGTTGGGTCTTCAGCGGCCAGGGGGCGCAATGGCATGCCATGGGCCGCGAACTGTTCGAGGCTTACCCTGTATTCAAGACGGCGATCATTGAATGCGATTCCTACATTAAGGAAATGGGAGCAACATGGACAATCATGGGTAAGTTCCAACGATCCAAACAATCTTTCGGGTTCCAAAACTAAACCATGCAGATGAGCTCCACCGCGACGAAGAGACGACACGAGTGAATGATGCCGAGTTCAGCTTGCCGCTGTCAACCGGCATTCAGATCGGAGTCGTGCGTCTGTTCTGGTCATGGGGGATTCGACCCACAGGCATCACCAGTCATTCCAGCGGAGAAGCCGCGGCAGCTTTTGCAGCTGGCGTCTTGTCGGCTCGATCTGCGATTGGCATTACCTATATCCGAGGTGCTTTGACGCGTAAGGATAAGTCGGCATCGGGTCCCAAGGGCGGCATGATGGCCGTGGGCCTCGGTAGAAGCGAGACGGATGACTACATCTCTCGTGTCATCGGAGACAACAAAGCCAAGCACTTGGTGGTGGGATGTGTCAACAGCCCGTCCAGTGTGACTGTCTCGGGCGACCTGCCCGCCCTTGCAGAGCTTGAACACCTGCTACATGCCGACAAAGTCTTTGCCAGGAAGCTCAAAGTTACCGAGGCATTCCACTCTAGTCACATGAAGCCAATGGCAGCCAGATTTGCGACGCTGCTGGTTGGGCTGCTTGAGGCGAACGACGTCGACCTAGCGATAACACCTGGTTCGATGGTCTATTCGTCTCCTAAGACTGGAAGACGTATGAGCAATTTTGAATCTTTGTTGATTCCCGGCCACTGGACAGAGAGTATGCTTCAAGCCGTGGAGTTCGAGTCCTCCTTTCTCGAGATGTGCTGGGACCCTAAGACGAAGGATCAATGTGTCGACGTCATTGTCGAAATCGGACCTCATGGTGCACTGGCCGGCCCGATAGCGCAAATCATGCAGAAACCGGACCTTGGAGAAGCGGGAGTCTCCTATCTCAGTTCTCTTTCTCGCGGGAAATGCGCTGTAGGCACTACCCAGGCCGTTGCAACGGCGCTTATGCGGCAAGGTTATCGTCTGGAGATGGACGCCATCAACTTTCCCCACGGTCGAGATGACGCCAAAGTCAAGGTTCTCCACGACCTGCCGACGTACTCTTGGAGCCACCAAATCCGATACTGGAGAGAGCCGCGCAACAGTCGAGCTCTCAGGCAGAACGAGCACCCGCCACACCATCTTATTGGATCGCGAGACCCGCTATTGCCATTATCTTCGACAACCTGGACGAACACGCTCCGGATGTCTGACATTCCGTGGGTTCGGGATCACATCGTTGGATCTGACGTGGTCTTTCCTGGTGCCGGGTTCATATCCATGGCCATTGACGCAATGTCTCAAGCTCATCAGCCAAGCCCGGACGAGAAGACATTCTTCAATCTAAGGGATGTGGAACTCATGCAGGCTCTCGTACTGCCTGTCGACGCAGAGCTGGACGTGGAGTTGCGCCTGGCCATTCGCCCTTGTGATGAGAAGTCTCTGGGGGTCAAGGGCTGGTACGCATTTTCTGTCCACTCCATCTCTGGAGAGAAGAACACCTGGACTGAGCATTGCACTGGGCTGATCCGGATCGAGAAGCATGGCCGAACGAGATGGGACGCTCCGGATTTGCCGGCGCTGAAGATGATGGATTCGGCAATGTATAGCCGCAAGACGGATCCAAAGATGCTCTGGGAATCTTTGCACGAGACGGGAATATGTCACGGCCCCATCTTCCAAAACATCTCACGGATTCAGAGCAGCGGACGGTTGTCCCTCTGCACTTTCCACGTCGCCGACACTGCCTCCATCATGCCATGTTCTTACGAAAGTCAGCATATAGTGCACCCGACTACGCTGGACTCGGCTATCCAGGCGGCATACTGCCCACTTGTCTCGACAGGCAAGAGATTGAAGGCCGCTCTGGTACCAAGACGGCTCAAGAAGCTCAAAGTAGTATCTACCCTCTTCAATTTTGGGGCTGGATCCGTGCTGGGTGCGCAAGTCTGTGTGAAGAAACAGTCTTCTCAGTCGTTTTCCGCAGACTTGGCCGTGTTTGATGGCGTGACTGGCGACGATAACCCTTCTACCTTAGACGTACTGATCGAGATGGAG